GGACGCAGTATTTCCGGAACATTTTCAAAAATTAAGTTGAAAAAGTTAATTTTTGTTAAAAAGTTGCCATTTTAAATCCCCCCCAATGAGCAGGTTAAGTGATAGATATTCAAAAAAATGATATCAAATGAAAGGTAGATATCTAAGGTTTTAGTATAAAAAAAAATTATGTTGATTTGTTGATTTTTCAAAAAGTTATGGAAGTTTTAAGAAAAAAAAGTGAAAAAATTTCGAAAATTAGCGATTTTTAAATTTGTAATTTTTTTGGATATTTCCCCCATTTGCGGGGAACGAGGGAATTTTTTTCAATTTTTAAGGGTAATGTCTTCAACTAGATACGATTTGTGATCTTTTGACGTATTTTTGAAAGAAATCGGTCCAGTGAGAGCTGAGAAAAAGTGGCAACAGACATAAAAAAAAAAAAGAACACATCATAGTAAAATTAAAACTTTCTCAGCTTCGTATCGAAGCTAAAATAAAATACAAAATCTAGAATTTTAATAGAAAAATTGCATATTTTTGAATACGGTAGCTATTTACGCATAGAAGATAGGTCGTCGGGACAAATTTTTTTTTTTCATTTTATAGTACATAAAATAAGCTTTAATTTGATATATGTTTAAAGGACGCAGTATTTCCGGAACACTTTCAAAAATTAAGTTGAAAAAGTTAGTTTTTGTAAAAAAGTTGCTATTTTAAATCCCTCCCAATGAGCAGGTTGTTGTTTTAAAAAAAAAATGATATCAAATAAAAGGGAAATATCTAAGGTTTTAGTATAAAAAAAAATTATGTTGATTTGTTTATTTTTGAAAAAGTTATGGAAGTTTTAAGAAAAAAAACTGAAAAAATTTCAAAAATTAGCGATTTTTAAATTTGTAATTTTTTTGGATATTTCTTCCATTTGCGGGGAACGAGGGAAAATTTTTCAATTTTTAAGGGTAATGTCTTCAATTAGATACGATTTGTGATCTTATGACGTATTGTTGAAAGAAATCGGTCCAGTGAGAGCTGAGAAAAAGTGGCAACAGACATAAAAAAAAAAGAATACATCATAGTAAAATTAAAACCTTCTCAGCTTCGTATCGAAGCTAAAATTACAAATTTAAAAATCGGTAAATTTTGTCATTTTTTTCTTAAAACTTCCATAACTTTTTCAAAAATAAACAAATCAACATAATTTTTTTTTATACTAAAACCTTAGATATTTATCTTTCATTTGATATCATTTTTTTGAAAATCTATCACTTAACCTGCTCATTGGGGGGGATTTAAAATGGCAACTTTTTTACAAAAATTAATTTTTTCAACTTAATTTTTGAAAATGTTCCGGAAAGACTGCGTCCTTTAAACATATATCAAATTAAAGCTTATTTTATGTACTACAAAATGAAAAAAAAAAATTTGTCCCGACACTTTTTTTTCTACATTTAAACGGCTGCCGTAGTTAAAAAAACACTATTTTTGTGTTAAAATTTTCGATTTTCGATTTTAAATTTTCAACTTAAAAATGCTATAACTTTTTGAAAAATGTATATATCAGCACAAATTTTTTTTTTCTAAATACATTATAAGTACATCTTTCATTTGACATACTTTTTATTAAAATTGGACAATTTCCCCTTATATAGGGGGCGTTCAAAACTTAAAATATTGTAAAAAACATAGATCTTTTTCAACTGAACTTTTGAAAATGTTCCGGAAATACTGCGTCCTTTAAACATATATCAAATCAAAGGTTATGTTATATACTATCAAATGAAAAAAAAAAATTTGTCCCGACATCTTATCTTCTATGTGCAAATGGCTGTCGAAAATTTAAAAAAAAATGTAATGTTTGCGATAAAAATTACCTTTTATCGGGATGTTTTTTGTACTTAAAACTGCCATAACTTTTTCAAAAATGAACAAATAAAAATAATATTTTTTTGTATTGAAACCTTAGATATTTCCCTTTCATTTGATATAATTTTTTTTGAAAATCTACCACTTATTCTGCTCACTGGGGGGATTTAAAATAGTAACTTTTTTACAAAAAATAACTTTTTCAACTTAATTTTTGAAAGTGTTCCGGAAATACTGCGTCCTTTAAACATATATAAAATTAAAGCTTAATATATGTACTATAAAATAAAAAAAAAAAATTTGTCCCGACGATCTGTCTTCTATGTGCAAATGGCTGTCGAAAACTAAAAAAAAATGTAATGTTTGCGATAAAAATTACCTTTTATCGGGATGTTTTTTGTGCTTAAAACTGCCATAACTTTTTCAAAAATTAACAAATAAAAATAATATTTTTTTGTATTGAAACCTTAGATATTTCCCTTTCATTTGATATAATTTTTTTTGAAAATCTACCACTTATTCTGTTCACTGGGGGGATTTAAAATAGTAACTTTTTTACAAACAATAACTTTTTCAACTTAATTTTTGAAAATGTTCCGGAAATACTGCGTCCTTTAAACATATATAAAATTAAAGCTTATTTTATGTACTACAAAATGAAAAAAAAAATTTGTCCCGACGACCTATCTTCTATACGCAAATGACTGCCGTATTCAAAAATATGCTATTTTTGTATTAAAATTATGGGTTTTGTATTTTATTTTAATAGAAGTTGATGTTGATTTTGCAATTATCCATCAATTTTTTAAAATTAAACACTATCTACAGATTTGCATCGAAGCGTTTCTTATGATAGTGATTTTAATCACTTTCAGATTAAAACTATACTGGATCCAACTATGCAATGTCTCCACTATGCCGTGACCCCACTGTGCTACCGTTTTTTTTTATACTAAAACCTTAGATATTTCCCTTTCATTTGATATCATTTTTTTTAAAAAACAACTCTTAACCTGCTCATTGGGAGGGATTTAAAATAGCAACTTTTTTACAAAAACTAACTTTTTCAACTTAATTTTTGAAAGTGTTCCGGAAATACTGCGTCCTTTAAACATATATCAAATTAAAGCTTATATTATGTACTATAAAATGGAAAAAAAAATTTGTCCCGACACTTTATCTTCTGCATGTAAACGTCTACCGTAGTTAAAAAAACACTATTTTTGTGTTAAAATTTTCGATTTTAAATTTTCAACTTAAAAATACTATAACTTTTCGGAAAATGTAATTATCAACACAATTTTTTTTTCTAAATACATTATAAGTAAATCTTTCGTTTGACACTTTTTATTAAAATTGGACAATTTCCCCATATATAGGGGGCGTTCAAAACTTGAAACATTATATAAAAAATAGAACTTTTTCAACTTAACTTTTGAAAGTGTTCCGGAAATACTGCGTCCTTTAAACATATTCATATCGAAGCGTTTCTTATGATAGTGATTTTAATCACTGTCAAATATCATCTATACTTGTCCCATCTATGCCTTGTCTACACTGTGTCTCGACACCACTGTGCTACCGTTTTTTTAATTTGACTTTCTCCATTCTTTTCCTTTCTCTTTATTTGACTTAAGGGCAACAATAATTGTTGCCTTAACGTATAAAATGATTGTTTTCAAACAACTGAAGATTAATAGAATATGCTATCATTTAGCATATTTATAATACTTGTTTTATCAGAGTATCAAATTAGTAATTTTATCAATTTCTTATTTTCTCTAACGTCAAATAATTAAATAAACCCTTTAAGATTAAGAGTAAACAAAAAAGTAACCCAAATTTTTTTAAGAGGAACATAAAAATTTATTAGTCCACAATTAAGTTTTGGTTATTCAATCGTTTAAAAAACATTTTTTTAAATAGATAATCATAATCCAAAGATGGGGTGCACACCCTCTGTATTACCAATTTTTATCTGCTATTATAGGCAAACTAGAATAAAATTTTTAAATAAAAAGAGACTATTCGTCTATCTATATCTTTTACTCTAAAAAATTATAAATATATAATTTTAAAAATATAAACAGTTATTCTTTAGTTATATATTTTTTTATCAAGAATAACATGAAACAAATAGATACTAAATAAACAGCTACTTAGAAATTAAAATATACTTACAATTTCTGAATATATTCGTATATATAGAATATGAAAAGAAACTTAAGCACACTTTAATTTAGAATTTTTGGAAATTTCTATTAAATGTAATTATTTGTAAGTATTTCAACTTGAAATTTAGTGTTATAATTTTTTCTCTCGTATGTTCTGGGAAAAAAAAGATGTTTTTATTTATTCTTTTTTCTAAAAATTTATGACTGTGTACATAATTTTATTACTTTATAAATAATAAACAGGATGATTTTTAGAGAGAATTATCTTCTATTAATACCAGTTTTCGCGATTTATTTAGAATTAATTATATTATTATAATACCTGCCTAGGAAAATCAGTGTGATACAAAATATTTTTGGTTCTTGATAAAAATAAATATTAAAATAATAAAAATTAAAGTCAATAAAATTTATTTATAAAAATGTATGAAGAATATTGTAATTTAGTAAAATCATTAATTTTAAATTTTACAAAAAAATTTTGTTGTTATTTTAAATTTTAATCTATTTTTATAGATTTTTGCTTTTAATAATTGAGTACGATATTATCTTACCACACCACAAATTTTCATTAATTATCAGGTTTACAATCATTTTAGAAAAATAATTGACTATTACACAATTAAAAGTAAAAAATATCAATTTCTAGAATTAATTATTTTTGTAAAAATAAAGAAAAATATATATATTAATATTTTAAATATTCTTAAAAGTTTAAATGTCACTGCTAAAATCTTTTTATTTCTTCATTATATATATATTTTTTTTATCATTGTTGACTTCAAATTTATTGAGGATTTATACTTCTTATTTTGGCCTTGTCTTTTATTTTTTGATGATCTCTAAAATAAAATAAAAATATATTAAACTTGTTTGCACATTTTAAATAATAAGTAGTTATATATTGTCTCTAGAAATTTCATGTTGATATATGCATTTTAAAAATAGATATGAGAATTTAAAATTAAACTTAAAATTTTAGAATTAGCCTTTTTTTATCAATTGTCATTTTAATAACAATAATAATGTCAGTGGGCAATAATGTACAGAAATATAAACCTACTAATATAGAATATTACAGTCTTATAAAATTCAGTATCAACTAATTGAAGATAAAAAACAAATTGAATATTCCTAAAAATAATTACAATTAAAAAAAATAATCATGTAATAGCCAATAATTATTATTTAACCTAAGCTTAGATTCATAAAAACTCTACATCAGAGCAAATTGAATTACAATGCATTAGCATATTATATGGAATATTTTATTAATTTGTTACTTAAAATTGAACTTAAAACATCAGATTCAGGCATTTTTCAATTGTCATTTTATTAAATAATTTTACTAAAACATCTAGTGCAGTTAATAAGTGAGGATTAAACATAGTAATTATTATTATGTTTTTCCTGACAATATTTTGAATTTTTTTAATGCAAAGTACAATTCTAATTTTATTTGTTGATTATTATTTTTTGTGGTATTAAATAATATTTGCTAAAACAAAAGATGAATATGAAAATACTGTATAATTGATAAATTGAACAAAACATGTTACTAAAATAATAATAAGTAAAATTCTCATTTTTATTTTTCAGCTAATTAACTGAACAATAGTAAAAAAATACCCTTATAAATTACCCGGGCTTGTAAAACCTAGCAACTGTACTTTATTTTGATTCATAAGTATTAACATGTTTTTAATTTTTTATCTTTCATATTAAATTTATACTAAATATAAAACTATTTTATGTTCTAAATGAAACACATTTAATATTATTAATTATTGATAACTAAAATACTAACCTTTATTTGATCATTAATACATCTATGATCTGGTAAGCAACACTTCCTACATTTTTTACAATGTTTCCAAGTGCATTTAACACATTTTTTACATAAATTACAATGAATATATTTTCGTCCATTCTAAAAAAATAAAAGTGCTAGTATTTATTTAAAAATAATTTAAAATATTTGGAATATTAAAATAAGGATGCATTACAATTTTTATAATCTAATTTCACCTACTCTCTGAAATCATTTATAAAATGTTATAAATTCACATAAAGAGTAACTTACTTTAGACATACAACCACCACATTGATAGCAATGATTATTTTCCCCACTAACCCAGCGATTGCATTCTTCACAAAAATGATAATTTTCATCAGATGGTAAAGGTATTTTACTTTGATTAGCATTAGTAAACAGTCTTATTGGAGATCCTTTATTTCTTCCTTAAAATAACTTAAAATTAATTAACATCAAATATTTTTTTTTTTTATTATATTGAAATTATACCTGTATCATTAAATTTTTTATGATTACTATAGTCAACTTTATAATCTAACATACTCATTTCTGGTAAACAGCTCTTAACATATCGCTCCATGAAATATGGTAGTATTAAAAATTCTGAAAAATATTTACAGAATTATATATGTATATAATTATCAAAATTTAATGAACCAGCAAATTGTTTGATGTACATTTATATTGAATATGATTATAAAAATAATATTAACAATTTTTCCATTAATTTTTTTTAGTTATATATGTCTCAGTTTATCAATCATAATGTATTTTCTGTTAATGTAAATTTTTGATTGACTAAAATATATATTAATAAAAATTGGGTAAAATATTAATAAAAANATTGAAGTTATTGAATCTAAATGAGATAAAAATCAAATGAGTTAAACATTTTTTTCTAACTTAAAAAGAATTAAGAAAAAATTCAGTGTCACAGGCGTGAAAGACCCAAGTGTTACCGTCTCAGAAACCATACGTCTCATTTGTCACTTAATAAAAATGGAAATTTAGCTGGTTCAAATTTTAAAGTTAATTTTCTCGACTTCAAAGAAACAAAAAAATTTAATTATGTTTATCTTTTTATACTATGTCAATTAGATTGATATAATATTTATGAAAATCAGTGTAATCCCCTTATAATAAAATAAAATACAAAACCAAGAATTTTAACACAATAATAGCATATTTTTAAAAATGGTAACTATTTTTACCATGTATTCTCCTAATAAGATATTTTAAAATAAAATAAAATACAAAACCTAGAATTTTAATAGAAAAATAGCATATTTTTGAATACGGTAGCCATTTGCGCATAGAAGATAGGTCGTCGGGACAAATTTTATTTTTTCATTTTATAGTACATAAAATAAGCTTTAATTTGATATATGTTTAAAGGACGCAGTATTTCCGGAACATTTTCAAAATTTAAGTTGAAAAAGTTAGTTTTTGTAAAAAATTTGCTATTTTAAATCCCCCAATGAGCGGGTTAAGTGTTAGATTTTCAAAAAAAATGATATCAAACGAAAGGAAATTACCTAAGGTTTCAGTATAAAAAAAAATTATGTTGATTTGTTGATTTTTCAAAAAGTTATGGAAGTTTTAAGAAAAAAAAGTGAAAAAATTTCGAAAATTAGCGATTTTTAAATTTGTAATTTTTTTGGAT